GAAGGAAAAAACAGAAGAAGCTTTAAGTATTAAAAGCCCTAAACAATCTCAATACACATAAAAGATTTTGGTTTAAGGAGATCTAGAATAAAATACGACTATGAGGCCACATATATTATTATGCTTTTACCTAACCCCACCTTCAAGGGCCTATCTCTGCCCTATTCCCAAGTTTACCTTAACAATCCAGGGATGGGGTCAGAGAATGGGATCAACTCTCATAACCACTATTTATTTATCAATTTGATTTGATTCATACCCAGCCTTTCTACCAAGAAAAAGAGCGCCCAAGCTGGCTGAACCGCACCAAGTGAGGTGCGGGGGAGAGATATTGGAAGAGGTTGGCACTCTTGAGAAGGAACTTGAAGCCAATTTACACTAACCTGTACATTTTACTGCTGTGCCTGGGGCTAAGCCTACGCACACAGGCGAATGCACAGGCAGGAGAGCCAGCCTCCTGTTGTGCTGCAGGACGTTGATGTCCTCTCTGAAAACTCCCGCAGAAATAAAAAACCTTGCAAATAAAAACCCACACACTGGGCCAGAAAACTTTCTACTCCTTCCTGGCTTTGCTAGTTTTCTACCCTGCGTGCAGTTCTGTGGGGTCGTTCTTTTCACAAGCGAGCAGCACGAATCCTTCCTCCAGCAACTCCCATGACTTTCCACCGTTCTGTCGGACTGCATGAACACACAGCTGAACCTGTGACTCACTGGCACCAAAAAGCACCGCTCTCCAGGCCGCAGCAGCTGGCACGGAGGCCTTGCCTGCCATGCCTGCAGCTCATTCACACGTACAAGTCACTGGGCAGGCATGCGGCTCAGCCTCGGGAGCTTCAGCGGTTTGCCTGCAACCTTGCGGCTGCACCTCAGAGAAAATCACAACAAGGCCGAGCGCGATGAAACTACTCTCAAGGAAGATCTGTTGGTGTTGTCATGCATGAGAAGAGGATCAGTCTGCAATAAGGATAAAGTTGACCGGCCTGCCGACAAGCCATTCCGAGAAGGGGCTTAATAGAAGTTGCATGGGACACTGCTCGAAGCCGTCCAGAACATGGGGCATGTAGTAGCTCAGGCCAGGATGGTGGAGGTCTTCACAAAGGCAACAATTATAGCAAGGAGTGCCACAGAGATGGAGAACAATTGGGAAGACTTGGGCCACAATGGAGAGTTTGGAAAAGAAGCAGGGGTGCGCTGAAGAGTCAAGGGCGGTGGAGGAGGAGGGATAAATGCACTTTACAGGCTCCAGCTATGTGGAGATTGGGGTGCCGGGGCGAACAAAGCAGGTGAAGCAATGGGGAGCGGAGGGGGGTCGATCCGTCAAGCCGCAAGAGCTGGGGCATAACTGGGGTGCGGGGTGAAGGTAACACTGCAGGCATTGCTATCATTAAGCCAACACAAAGTGCAGCTGATCCGACAACGGGGTGCTCGTTGCGGGCCATCTCCGAGAGGGCACTGGAAGCACTCGCTGCGGGTGCCGCTCTGAACACCCGAGAGCAAAGGGACGGTGTGCGGCGGCGGCGGCGGCGGCGGCTTCCTGCAGCCACAGGCCACCGCCGGCGCCGGCGGAGAGCGGGAACGCAGGCGGCGAGTGCGGGAGGGTCGGCGGGCGACCCGGGCACGTCCGGGAGGCCGGCGCCGTCGGGGGAGCCCGGGAGAGCGGGGGCGCGGGGGGCGGCCGCGGGCTCGGG